AAGCAAGACCGAGGACCATTGAGGACTTTCCCACTCTGGCCAGGGGACTGAGGTGTGTCCTAGGCTCTCTGATTTCAGCACCTCTCCTCAACTCATTCTGAGAATTGGCCACCCCACTTGGATGCTGGGTCTGCAAGAGACCTTGTGTCCTTCACATGCTCAGTGCCAGAGATTGGCACTGAGACTGATCAGGATTTCCCAAGGAAATCTATTTGCTATAAAATCTCCCCAAACAGCTTTTAGCAACTGCAGACATTTCACAGCGGGAGCACAGGTCTTGGAGAGAGGTTTAACTCTTCAGCTTTAAAAGAAACAAACAAACAAAAAACCTTTGAATTGCCCATCCTAGTAACAGTGTCAAGGTTTACTATGTATTTTCCAGCTGCAGCGGGATGGGGAAACTGCCTCAAGACTCTCAGCGGCTTTGGGAAGAAAGAGCTCAGCTAGGCGCCTCCAGTGGCCAAATTGCAACGGAAAATTTTTGTGTGGATGAGGGAATGGGGGATGCAATTTCATAGTTTCTTCCGTGGCCACATGTAGGCCAGGAAGTCCAAGCTCTGATCTGGGCTGTGCCTCTGCTTAACCTTGAAGAAGTGACCCCTTTGTTTGGCATCTTTACAACCAGGGTCCTGGCATTCTAAGACCCAAGCTTCCAGCCCGAACCACTGTGGAATGTCTGTTCCTTCCTCAGCAACATTACAAACCTGTCCTCTACTCCATCCCAGAGCAAGGGCAAGTTTGTGCAGGGCTCTGGACCCATGCTTCACGTCCACCTACTGAGTACAGCTGTGTCTAGATTGACCCCGCCTGGCACTACTGCCTTCTCCATTCCAACTCTTCGTACTCTAGGAACTCATTTAGTCCATACTCTGGATAGGGAAAGCATCTGTTGCACTGGTCTAACAGTTTCTAAGGCCTGCTCCACTCTCAGGCTACTCAGGGTCTCAGAGGGTGTTTTCACCGGCAGTTGGCACTGGAAATCTCTTAATTAGAAGCCTCTAAGCCCAGACGCCCATCTCTGATGTCTGTAGCAAGATGGCTCTGAGGTTGAGCCACTCCCCCTGAACCTCCAGCCTCCCACCTTCAGCTGCTGCATTCTGCAGTGCCCCGGGTACTAAGGTCCGGTTGTAGATTTCTGGCCTTAACAACCCCCAGCAAAGTCAAGCTGCCTTTACAAACCGTAGTAAACATTTTATTTACAAATTTAAGGCGTCTTAAGTGCCTTAGGGCTATGACCCCTGGGGCGAGTCAGAGAAACAGTTTAGTCAAACACTTCACAGTCGAACCAGCTTGCTTCCGAGAGAAGTGTTCGGCTGGTTAGCAGGACACTGAGACTCCCCTCTGCTCTGGGCAGTGTCCGCTGCAGCCAGCCGGAGCAGCGTGGGCCGAAGCGTGAATGTCGGGAGGTAGGCTCCACGCTGCGTCTCCTGTCCTGCCAAGTCGCCAACATACAGTAAGCACAAAACCCAGCCCATGGTGGCTGGGAGGCTGCACGCAAGGCCCGGATCCCCTCCGCGCTAGTACAGTCTATACGCCGCCAAGCGCGCCTTTGGGTGGCTCGGGGCTTTTGGGAGCGCTGCTGGCTGTGGGCTGTGGCACAGGGAGAAGCTCCGAGGCGGAGGCGCCGCCGCCGCCGAGGCTGCTGGCGCAACCCGCACTGGTGTTGCTGCTACTAAGACTGCTGGCGCTGCTGAAGCTGAAACTACTGCCGCCGCCGCCGCTGCTCCCACCACTCCCAGCACTGCTGGCGCTGATGAGAGCGCCAGTGACCGGGGCCTTAATAACGGTTGTTTGGTGCAGAGAACGCTCAGCCCCCTCTGTCCGCTCCGTGTCGCTGGGGGCCATGTCCAGTGACTCGGAGTCGCTGCTCTCGCTCTCAGCCTCGCCTTCGGAGCGGCTGGGGCTCCTCTCGTCCTGCTCGCCATCCGCAGCCGGGCCTCCACCTGACGGTTTCTCGCCAGCCTCCTTGTCCTTGTCTTTTTGGGCCTGGGCCTCCTTGGAGTGCCGCCACTTCATCCGCCGGTTCTGGAACCACACCTTCACCTGCGCCGCGCCACACAGGGAGACAAGAAGAGACACTGAGATGAGACCCAGGTTTGCTTCTATCCGACTCGCGTGCACCCGCAAGTCACCTCCCTGAGTGAGAAAGCAACGCTTACCTGGCGACTCTACCAAGGACCAGGCACTGTGGTAGGCGCAGGAGCCAAGGGGCAGCCAGGAATCCTGGTCTAGGGAGCCCACTAAGACCGTTTTCAAAATGCAACCCTCAGGCCCCAGGATTAAAATGACCTGGGTGACTATTGGAAAGGCAGATTCGTGCACCCGACCCCCAACATACTCTCTCTCTACTCTAAATCCATGCATTTTTTTTTCTGGACCCCAATGAGAATCTGATTAAAGTTATGGACTCCTAGCCCAGAAAAATACACATGTACCCAAGATATGGCTTACAACGTCAAGGGTTTGGTGAGCCAGTGTTAAGAATTCCTGCTCTAAATTGGCCCTCTCCTCTACTGCCACTACCCAAAGCCAGTCCCTACAAAAGCAACACTTTTTTAAAAAAAGGAAACATGAGGAGCAGAAAGGGAAAAGGGGTTTTAAACTGTTAATCACAGTAGGGTGGGGGCACTGTTGGGCTTTCAGTAAGACAGCATTTCTTTGGTGTGTTTGTACGCAAGAGCTGATAAGGACCCTGCCCTTGTTAAGGATAAACAAATTCTCCTGGGGGCTCAGAAAACACTGGAATTAAATGTGTGCAAAGTGAAGGAAGGGCACAGAGATGGGGCAGAGAATCTATATAAATATATACGATCCCCTGGGGGACCCAGTGCGTTCACACAAGTTCCAGCTTCCATTTTAAAAATAACATCCACAGCTGGTGGAAAACGGCTGGGCTCCTCCAGTGTGTGTGTGTGTGTGTGTGTGTGTGTGTGTGTACTGGGGAGGAGAGTTGTGTAATGGAGGACAGAAAGAAACAGAGACAGTAGTTGGGGGACCAAGGAGCTAAGGAAAAGAAGCCTGCCTCTGGCTTCTGCCCTGCTGGGGACAATCAGCACCCCAGAGCTAGAGCCAGTGCTACGGGGTGCACAAGAGTGACTCTTCCACAGTCAAAACTCGGGGGAAAAAAAAAAAGTCCAGTTCTTAAATATAAGAAAAAAAATTTAATTCCGGCACAATACATTTCCTATTGTCTTGAAAAAAATCAGATAGGCAGAACCTGCTGAAATGCTCTTGGGTATTCCAAGAAAATAATTTTTCTTTCTTTCCCTCACCTCTCCCATTCCTTCAGATTTTCTTCAGAGCCTAAGCCTTGGAATATGTGGCCTCTCCAAGCGGACTCCTTGCCCTCCTGGAGCTAAGTAATTCCGTTTGAAATTATATTTTCACTTCCTCACAACTGGGGATTTCACAATCCAGCAGAAGCAGAAGGAGGAGGAGGAAAGACGGAGGGTGAGAGGGGAAAAAAACCAACAACAACCTCTTGTCTTTGGGTTTTTATCTTTTCTGAAACAAACTGCCTCCTACAGCGAATTGCACTACAGTTGAGTACATCAATGTTATTTCCAGCGGCTCTTTTGCTTTCTCCGTGGTTCTTTAGCCTGCTGGCCAAAATAAACATGCAGTGCTTGTTGACACACATCTTGGGGATGAGCTCTTCTCTCGGTCCTTCTCTCTCACCCCATCTCCACCCTCCTCTTCTCCTGCCTCAAGTTGCGTAGTCCACAAAGCCTCTTGAAAGTCAACATCTTGCGTTTCCACCGTAGGAGGCCAGTCGGCCGGGGTGGAGGGGCCTATTGGACTAGGCCGTGCGCTGCTGCCCGCCCGAGGGCGCTGTGCGCTGGAGCCGGAACTGCCTTACCTGTGCGTCTGTGAGGCCCAGCATCGCCGCCAGCTGCTTTCGGTCCGGCTTGGTCACATACTTCTGAATCTCAAACCTTTTCTCCAGGCCTTTCCTCTGCAGGTTGGAGAACACAGCGCGAGACCATGAGCGCTTCCTTTTGTACGTCTGCGGCATGGTGTCCTTCGTGAGCACAGCGTAGGGACCTGCCGCAGAGCGGGAGCCAGAGGGAAGAAAGACAAGAGGGCTGTTCAGTGCCCAGTCCTTGGCCTGCCGGCCTGGGGGTCCCCGTAAGGCTTGAAACCGTTTCCTGTTAACTGTCGATTCCACCCTCATTCAGAAAGCCCTTCGCGCATACACCGAATGGCCCCTCTAAGGAAGAATTTTACATGACAGTCGGAAGACCTAAAGCTAGCATGGAGTAGAGAAGCCTGGAGGCTTGTCCTTTAACTCCGAGGGAAAAACATAAACCTCATGCGTGGCCATCAGGCCTACAAAGAGTAGACAAAAATGTCCCTAGGGCCTGAATAATGACAGCCCTGAATCATCGTGTGTGTGTGTGTGTGTGTGTGTGTGTGTGTGTGTGTGTGTGTTATTCCCGCCTGTGCCCAGGCACCCAGACGTAAGCTCGCCAAGCACAAGTGTTTGAGGTCATCCCAAAATGTGTGTATGTTAATAAGTAACATCGATGCTGCATTTTTCAAGCCACCCTCTGGGGCGAAAGACTTTGAGAAAGCCCCCCACCCCACCGTCCACGCGCACACTTTCTGGGCTCTCCAGGCGCCCCTACCCCTTTTCAAGGGGAACCTTCCAAAGAGAGTGCTAGCTCGCTGAGAAATCTTTCGGTTTCTCTCTCCTGACTCTGTAGCCTCCCGCCCCAACTGTGAGATTGCGACACCGCAGCCACCCTGGAGGCGTCAGTACTGAGATTTCTGACTGTCAGTCGGCTTGCCCGTTAGGCAGTACTCTGGAGTTTTTCGGTACCTGGAAACGTGTCTTGAAACTGATGCTGAACTGAATTTCTTGGGTTCGAGCTTAAGGGACTCAGGATGGCAGAAGCCTCGTTAATGGGATCTAGAGATGCGAAGAACTGGCCAGCGGAGGGCTGCAGGCCTGAGAGGTGCACCCCCGCGGGCCGCCCACCGGTTAGCAGGGACGTGAGATCTGGGGACAAGGGAAAAGGATAGCAGGTTACATCTCAGGCACACTCACACTCTCCGCTGATTTGTTCCTCCCCTTCCCCTTGCCCTGGATTCACTTTTATTGAGCGAAGTCACGAGAGAACTCGTCTCGGCGCTGAAACCTCTCTCTCCCAACAGTTGCCAAGGAGCGACGCATGAAAAGTTCCTGTGTGTCCCTCACGTCCACATGCACGCATATAGTAAGTAAAGGCTTTACATAAATCGGCTTAGGGCCTTACTCTCACGTGCCTTCCAAGAATCCCACAAACCCAAAACCTCCGCCCCAAGGAGGCCCCATTCTGCCCGCTCATCTAGGTGGTTTTGTGTATTGTTTACATTTCCTGGGTGAATTTTTTACCAGAAATCAGATAAATGCGAAAGTGTTTCCCAAAAATGCTTTAACTGTCAGAAAATATAATTCTGTCTCTAGATATGTTATTAAAGAGATCAAAGTCATTTTAGCAGATAATTACACCAACCATTTTTATAAATATTGTTTCTAAGACGTGTTTTTAAAGAATCCCTGGAATAATTTTTTTGTTTGTTTTACATAGAACAGGTGAGTTTTATACCTAATGTTTTGTAGTTTTCTTACAATTCGTTTTCTTCTCTCCCATTTTACCCATTTGTCCTTAATTGTAAAAACACTCAAAGGCACCCCAAGCCTGCCCGGGGTCCCGGGAGTGGGTCAGTGGTCAGAGGCCTGCAGCCTCCAGTCCAAGACCTACCTCTCAGCGTGTTGCCTTCTTTGACTTTTGGGTCAAATTCTGCAGATAAAATGCGGTCAATTCCAAATTTGAGGTCTTTGCTGGAGGGGGCCGGGGCGGAGCCACTGTGGTGGGGGTTCGGGACCACTCGCGTCCCAGAGGCCGGGGGCTGCAGGGCGCCAGCCCGAGGCGGAGGCGGAGGCTGTGGCTGCGACGGCTGTTGCTGCTGCGGCTGTTGCTGTTGCTGTTGTTGTTGCTGCGGGTGATGGTGGTGGTAGGCGGCTGAGAGAGGAGACAGCCGCTGCGGGAAGCCAGCCGGGACTTCGGAGGGCGCCACCACTGGGGTGGGTCGAAGCGGGGATCTGGCCGCCGCTTGGAAAGAGGCGTGCGGGTGAACCGAGCCCAAGTGCGCGGTGAGGGCGGCGGCCGAGGCCCCTGCCAGGCCCTCCGGGGCCGCCCCCAGGTCCCCCACGCCGGCATGCAGAATGTCTGCGATGCAGAAGGAGGGCTTCTTGACCGCGGCGGGGTCCAAGGGGAAGGAGCAGCCGCCTGGGCCGGTCGAGGAGCAGTAAGCGGCCGACCAGAGGCTGAAGTTGGAGGCGTAGAAGGGAGCCAGCCCGGCTGCGAACATCCTGCCGGGGTGAGCCGCGCCGCTGCCGCAGTCCAGCTGGACCGGGTGGGTGGGCGCGCGGGGAGCGGCACGCGAGTCCCGGAGAGGGCGGCCGCAGCCGAGGACGATCCGCTTTCGCTTCTCCGCCCGCACTGAAGAAGAGAGGCCGGGAGCCCTAGCGCCACCGAAGGAGGAGGCGAGGGCCGGATCTCGGCCGGTCACCGCCTCGCTCCCTGGCCTCGCTTTAAAGGCGGCGCGGCGCCCGCACTCCTAGAGGGCTGGAGGCGAATGAGGGGCGCTGGGGCCGCGGGGCGGGCGGGGGAGCCAGGGAGACGGGAGCCGGACACAGCAAGAAAACCCAAACAGCTAAGCCCTAAGAGCTAAATTTAAAACAACAACAATAATAATCCGTTAGTTAGGGGGAAAAAAAAGTAATAGAAAAAAAAAAAAAAAACTCGTCTCTAAAAACTCCCAAAGTTTTGGCAGGAGCTTTAGAGTCAGGCCCTGGGTAGGACCTCGATCCGAGCGCTCATTGGTCATCCTCATGACCAATGGGAGCGGGGAGTGGAGGGGAATTAGGAACGAGGGGGCGTGGCCGGGCCCGAGCCCCGCCCCGGCCACGCCGAAGTGTTTGCTGCGGCCGCGTGGGCTTAGTAATGCACTTCGCAGTGAGTCTTGCTACTCTCCATAGAGGCCAGGCAGCCGCTCGGGAGGGCTCTCTCTTCTAACTTCTGCAGCTCCGAACCGCCACGGGGCAAGGAGGATTGGTCACAGGAGCTTTCCTGAAGCGCTTATCACCCGGGGCGAGTTGGGGGAGTGGGGAAGGGACGGTTATCTCACTCTTTAGGGCTATGCAAAGCCCGCCTTCCGGTGGAGAGCAGAGAGCGGTTTGGACCCTTTGCTTCCCTTCTCTTGACCTCATTCTGCTTTTATTCCAGGAGTCCGTGTCCTCGGCAAAGCCCCTCATCTTTCTTGGACCCTTGCCCAAATGTTGCCACCCTGAGTACCGGCCCAACTCAGCACCACGTCTGCCCTGTGCCTCCCTGGAGATCCTCGGGGAAGCGAGAAGGAGGGGCGACCGCAAATTAGTTTTATTCTGAGCTGTCACACAGTGACAACTTGAACGAGTGACTTTTCAAACAAAATAAGACGGATGGCTCCAAACGTCTTCCTTAGACGCAGCCAAACCTTTCCCCGGAGCCTCAGAGGCTACAAAACAGGCTGCCTCCAGAAACCTGGGAGCGGCACGCGCGTCCCTCCTTTGCAGGAGATTGTAGGAAATGTTAGCCTCCCTCCTCCACCACATCTCCGGATCATGTGGGGTTCGTTGTTTTGCAAGTGCCCACAAGAGCAGATTTCCGTGGGGTTCAATATTGCTTTCAATTCTGTGACAGCTTCCCCAGGAACCCCTTGGGCCTGGTCGCAGGAGGAGCTGCAGTGGTGGTCAACGTCTTCCATTCATGCCTTGGGTCTTTAGAACGCAGGGTGGTGGTAGTGGGGGTTTTGTGCAACATCAACATCTCTATTTTAAGAATTTGTTCTCTTTTAAATTATAGTCAGAATGGATTTCCCCACCCCTCTCCCAGACAAACCACAGGCCACCCAGATAAGCTGTTCTTGCACATTTTCAGGAAGAAAATAAAATAATACGAATAATGAAACCACGAAATCTTTTGTTTTCGATTGCCCTAATAAGCATCTCCTAACAGAGATTCTGTGGCATTTTTATTTCCCTTCAGCACGAAGGCTCCTCACCAAATAAACCCAGAAAGGCAAGTGAACTTGCCATGCCTATCTCAAGTTCAGGGTTTGGACTTACAAAATTAATTTCTGGTGGCTTCTCTAGCCCCTTGATGCAGATGCTATCCTTTTAAGCTTTTGACTTTCTCCTGGAAAAATTCAATCACTTCTGATCAGCCAGCACTAAGATCTCTCCCTCTCCCTCTCTCTCCCTCCTCCCGCCCTCCAGCTCTCCCGCTCTCCCGCTCTCCATCTCTCTTTTATTGCAAGGTTTTCTTCCCCTGCTCCACGCAGCCAGGAGAGAGGTGCTATTTCCAGTGACAGATGGGTGTGTTTGGCTGAGGGTAAGGATACCTGGGGCGACAGACGTAATAAGACCAGTCTTTCGGTGTCAAGCTGAAGGTAAAGGAGCGACAAGTACAACATGGGCAATTGAGGCGCTGGCTGAGGGTTCTGGTGAGCCTTCGGTGTGAGTGTGCGTAGCGGAGGCCGTGAGTCCTCTCCTTTCTAGTGCCACTTCCAGTTTGTGATTCTAATTTGACTGCAAACATTTAGACCTCGGCCTAAGCCCAAACTCACGGTTGTGAAAGAGGTGCATTTACTCCTTACCGAGGCAGCGCCGCGCGCCCTCACCCTCTCTCTTAAGAAATAAGACTCCCCTATCCGCATTCATCCTTTCCAAGGTTTGCGACGCTCCGGGTTGGGCGCGGGATGCAGACCCCGGGGAATGCGGGCCCTCGCGGGTTCCCTGAGGTGCCCACAACTCGCATCTGCCGAGATTCAAGGTCCGGAGCGCTGGGCAGATGTGGCAAAAGCGAGGCCCCGAGGCCCGCCGACTCCTTGCCGCGCCGCGAGCCTTCCCTTTCTCCGCCAGGCCAGTGGCTGGATTGCAAGTTGCAACTTCGCCCGCGCGCCCCTTGCTCTCCCAGGCCTCGGCTTCCTTGCAATCGCATCGGCGCCATCCAAGGCCTTACTCCCAGCTCCCGGAGGCAAACGCGAAAAGCAAGTCTTTGAAGCGACCCCCGCCGCCCCCTCTACCGCTTCCCCAGGCCCAAGCCTGGCCCCTGCAGGCCCCTCGCCGAGTTCTGAGCCCGCAGTCTCCCGCCCTCCTTACTCCCCACTCTTCAGAACCAAGAAAGCACCAGGAAACCCTGGGCTCGCCGGAGTTCAGGTCATCTCCTGTTTTTTGATGGGCTCAAACTCGGACTAAATGAGCGGATGTGCCTGCGAGATTGGTCTCAAAATAGAAGCGGCCTTAGTATTTTAGGATACTGCAGAAATCCTTATTTCTTCCGGAGAAAAACTCTATAATGACTCCTAGCACTTCCCCTTTCAATATTTGTGCAACTTTATCTCCACCGGCAAGTTGCTCGGGTGACGCAAATCCGCCCTTGTGTATTACAACTACCAAAATAAATGCACGGAAATCAATTCCCTTCTAGCAATGAAAATATAAATATACAGCTGCGACTTTCCCCTTTAATCTTTGCTTTCCGAGCCACTCCAGGCTGTGGCGAAATGAACTGGCCCAGAGCTATTGAGCCGGGCAGGGAGGTCCTGAGGGCAGAGGCGAGGGCTCCCCAGGGCCTGGTAGCCATGGGGGTTGAGGATCTAACAGGAAAGAAAAGCGCCTGGCTAAACCGAATTAACTTGAGCTTGGTCTACGCAGCGGAGACCCTAACTGTGGCTTCATTTTTTGGGAAAATGTCGCATTGGCTGGGGTTTCTGATCATTCTGACTGCTGTCTTTAATGCTTTCAACTCATCACTTCACTTTTCCTAGTTAGACATAGCCAAAGACGATTTCACCATACTGGGAATGGATAAGATCAGAGAAGGTTCTTTTTATAATTTAACAATATAGCTTATGGGTATTTAGGGTTTAAAAGGGACCTGAATCAGGGGCTTATGCAATGACTGAGGCAAGAGATGGGTTTCACCATCCTTTGGTTCTCCCTGTCTTTGGAGCGTCCATATTTAAATTATCAGTGCAGATTTTTGTCCCAAAACCAGAGTCACAGATCCACAATGAGCATAGGTCAATTATAATGAATGCTGGGCCTTGTATATTACAGGACCATAACTCTGCAAGGGCTTGAACTGGCTATATCTGCTATCTGTTTTGCTTTTCTTGCACATTCTGAGCAAAATAATGTGCAAGGCAGATGCTCTGTGGACTTGGGAACCCCTCTCCTCTGAATTTCAAATATTCTTGCAAACATGGTACCTACTGGCTTCAAGAAAAGAGATGGAAATAATTAAATATTTACAATCAGAAAGAAAAAGAAACACAGCTTATCCAGCTACTTGAGAATTCAAGAAATTTACAGCAATGTAGGAATCTGTGTATACTGTGCCTGTCTTCCTGCCAGCTGGAGATTTATGGATCACTGGGCCCAGCAGTCATACTTAGTGGTGGATATGGGAGTTCTGTTCTTTGTGGGTGCCAGACACTAGAGATTAGGACCCTAATGACCCCCCACAGACATATCCCCTACCCACACACACATACTTTGGCCTATTCTAAGTGGGACACAACTTTCTTTTCTTGGAGACCTTAGAGTTATTCCAGAATTTCTGAGTTTTGAGAAAAGTTGGACTTTTCTATGGGGTGGGAAAAGCAAATAATGCATTAGAGCTACAAGCATCCATAGCTATTTGATTTATTCTTTTTCCTTTTCTCCATTTCCCAGATGTGGCAGATTTGCAGGTGGCCAGCTCTCTATTTGGCTGTGGCCCTGCCCTTGAACTTTAGCCATAGGTCTTGCTCTAAAGTTTCAGACAGCCTTTTGGCTCTGATTCCATTTGCCCTTTCCCCTCATAGGGCAATATCTCACATAGGAAATATGTGAGATATTTCCCTTCCCTCACTACTAAGATATACCACTTTACATATATGTACTTCTCTCTCTCTCACACACACACACACACAATTCTCTGGGAATCTTAGAAATGGCGGGGGATGGGGAAGGAAGGGCAGGCAGTTTGGGATTTGTTCCTGTTTCAAAGAGCGCTTCTCTGCCTCTCCAAGTCATCCTCTCACATCCAGCCAAGAAAGACCCCGAATCTCATAAAAACCTGCGGCAGAACCCATTTCAACATGGCACATTATAACAGACTCATATACTTTTGCAATGAAATCATAAGAGTAAAATATGAGAGCCTATCTGTATCATATATGAGCTTACATACTTCTTTGCACAGGCTTCTGTTTAGTAGCTGTAAATGGTGCTCTCCCACTCCCAATACATTAGCCACTCATCTTGGATTTGTTGCCTGAATTATTGAATCTGAATGGCTGGTTGTTAAGGTAAGAGAAGGAAGAGTAGGTGAAAATCATATATCCAAAACAGGGAGGGATGAAAGGCGTTCCAAAAGCAGTATTTCTCTAAACAAACAAATAAACCTTCTTCCCTTTGAGACAGGTTTTCAAGTTAGAGCACAGGTTCTAAGGCCAGAAGACGGACTCAGGCCCAGACTAAAAAGCAGTCATGGGAAGGGATCTTCTAAAGGGAAAGAATCCTGGAGTCAATGAGAGGGATTTTGCAGATAAAGCCAAATGGTTGTTGTCCCCATCTCAGTGGTCCTAATCTGCCCACGAGCACCCACCATAACTGGGACAGCCCTGGATTTAATGACAGACTCCCCCTAGCCCTGTCCCAGCCCACTACACCCAGGCATCTCCCTCCCTGGAGGAGCCCACCAAGTACTGAAAGTTGGTTCTCTGCTGACACCTGCTGGACCATCTCTACATTGTTTTCTGGCAGTAACCATCCTGTGCCAGCAACATTGTTATGATGAAAATTGACTCTTCCTTTTGCAAAAATGTAGGTTTCTAAAATTGGCTTTGACTAGCAGCTGTTTCCTTCCATATTGCAACAATATGGGAAGATCTTGTACTATGTGTTTAAAATCACTAGATCGGGGCGAGGGAAGCAGTCATGGTTCAGGAATAATACTGTGTACATTTTACAGATCTCAAGGTCAATTCACATTTATTGTCTCACTTCTTTAAAATAGCCAACTGTAGGATAACGATGAGGGATTATTATCCCATTTGACTTTAGGAAGTTGATCCTCAGAAAGGTTAAGTGGCTTGCCCAAGGTGACGTAGTTGGGAAATGGTGTTGGAGGGAACAGAGGCTAGGTTTTCTGGTTCATCAACCAGTACTATACCATTCAGCCAATTTCTTCAGGGAAAATGGTTTATTCAGAGGAAAAACTCTTTGCCCTCAATCAGAATGTGTATTGACTTCAAACAAGGAGCTAGAGAAAAGAAGTATGTCTAACCCAGACATACTACCCTACCCTGAAATTTCTTTCTCTCCTCAGCATTAAATGTGGAGACTTCCTTGCCTCCCAGTATCATGCCACTCGTTAAATTCTAATTTGGGCATCTACCCAAATGAGGTCCAAATTTGATTTGGGTAGATGCTCCAAATCAGAATTCAGGGAGTAGCATGATACTGTGTCCAATTCACATCTGCAAATGAAAATAAATCCCTCAGTTGATAATTCAGTTTTGTCTTTGCATTAATAAAAGTAAATCATTTTGACTATTTAAAATATCCAACCAACTAGATAGTTTGCCCAGGAAGGCATTTTTCTAAACCTTCTCACCCACCCTCCTTGCCCTCCATCATAACATCCTGGTCACCTTTTTCCATTGCAACTGGAAAGCAGTATATTTTGGTTGCCATCAAAGCCCTGACTTCAAACTCTATGACTCTCTGAATGTGAGAATGTCTCTCAGCTTCCAATGCTTCATCTCTCTCTCTAGTATTACCCTCATCTCCCCACCCTACTCTTTTTCCCACAGCAGCCACATGCAATGGAGATTTCTACAGGAAGCATGACATGTGAGGTGCTCAAGAGGCAGGAACTTAAGAAGCCTGTGAGCAGATTTTAAGAGGTTTCTATGCAGA